ATGAATGCCTAATAATGATATTTTAATCATTTTATTGAATTATAAGATTATTTTTTTCGTCAAAAAGTTTTTCTTTCCCTTTGAGTTGAATATAGACATGCTTTTTCGGATATATTTGCATTTAGATACAAATTTTAAAAATAATATTCCATAAATATACAAAGTATTTTAATCATCTTATAGAAAATAATATATGAAATATAGTGAATCATTTTTTTTAAATGATATTACATTATATTTATTTTAAGAAAACTCAGAACTTTGGAATTTTGGAATTTAAAATTTTTTTTTTCTTCTCCTTTTTATATCACAAATTAGTTCTTAAAAATTATGTATAACAAAAAAAATATTTTAGGTTCACTATATGTGTAAGTGCCTTTTACGGAAGCATACAAAATTTGGAACACACACACACACACTATATTGTGTAATAGGTGTCTTTAAAATGGTACCTAAATGCCAATATATCTAAACATTCCTGTTCCTATTCAACTAAGAATAAAATAACATTTTAACAAAAAAAGTTACTTTGTAGTTCTATAGAATTATTAAAATATCATTGTTAGGCACACAAAAGTTCTAAGCTCTACCAATAATTGAAAAGAGATATATCACAAAAACTAGGAAGGTATGGTATTCCACAATTCTCCCGCATTTACTGGTGACCTTAAACTTAAATATAATAATCAATGGGCTGAATTTCGGATTCTAAAAATACAATGAGTAAGATGATGGTATGATGAGTAACTAAGAGCTGCATTATGTTAAACACAGCTTTACAATCAGCTATAATTTTGAAGCTCAGAAAATAGGGAAACGAGAGCCTTCTTGAATGATTAGAAAGTAGCAAAATCCTCAACCAAAACGAGCTCAGATGCAATGTTAACCCAACAAATGTATTTTATAATCATTTAAAATTTTAAAAAATTACCTTACACTCTTTATATTCAATAATTTCATTTTAAAATTAAAAAACGCGTGTCTTTTCAATTAATAGAATCAACTTGGAACATTTTCGATCTTTTTGCATATTTTATGCAATTGATTGATACATGAGGTATACGAAGATGCAAGGGCTATTATTCATATTTATGCCATGTAATTTTTAAAATTCAGAGTAACTTTAAAGTCTAGCATCCCAACTTTTTATAAAATAAGAGTAAAGTTTCAACTAAAGGCTTATGCCTTTTTTCCGAGTTCCACCCCATTTTTCGTGGGAGCATATTCCAGTTTGAGTCGCAATTGACTAGGTATACTGATATTATTTATTATTTTTCAGGTAAAAGGTCTTGTATTGGCGACTTTTTGGCCCAAATTGAAGTGTTCATCATCATCGGGGCTATCCTCCAGAACTTTAAAATTCTTCCAGGAAACAGCAAAGGAACATTGATATTTATTCAAAGATAACGAAAATAAAATTTTATGCTCCTATTGGAGCATTTCTTTTTTAAAAACAGATTACATCACATCAAATTTTCTTCAGTGTATCAAAGTAATTTTGTGATCGGATTTTCCCTTTGCTTATTGTTCAAGCTGCCAAAACTAATATTTGTGAGTTTTTGTCATTTGAAAGGTAATTTTACATGATTGATTTTTTCATCTATGTGACGTCATTCTGTGAAAACTGGCAGAATTTCTTTTTCTTCCCCCCCCTTCTTTTTTCATCTTCTTTTAACTTCTCTGTGATGTCAGATTGAGAACAATGATATATTTCAGAGTTTCTTCCCTATATCTAAAGCACATTTTTTTTTCTTAACAAGATCTCATTTTAGTGCGATATTTGCGACTACAGATTGGGAAAATTTATTATTAATAAGAAAATTGGTTATTTCATACAATATTTTTGTGATTTGCCTTTTTCATTATAGTATGGCCTGCCTGACGTCATTCTGAAAATTGGATTTTAAGAATGTAGGGAAAACATTGCAATTAAATTTAATAGTTAATGTACAGATAAAACTCTTTCAAGTTGCAATAGATGATAGTTTGATACGGTGAGACTTTCCCATTCGTAAAGATCGAATTTATACGATTTCTTTTCACACAGAATGTCAATTATAAGATATATTAATTGCTGTCAAATAAAAGTAATCAGCCCTTGTTCCTGCTCTAAAAAAGTACGACATATGTGTCTATCTAGAAATGTTATTATATTTGCATTATGAAGTTTGATTTCATCTAATTCTTTTGGAAACTTATAGAAAAATTTTATATTTTAAAACAAAGTAAAAGTTTTTTCTCCCGTTTCATTGTAAATTTATATTTAAATAAAATGTATTATATTTATATAAAATTTGTTGTATGTTTATACAAAGAATTTTCTTTTTGCCGCTTTCATTTCACAGTATTGCTTCCATCTCATTTATGAGGGGAAAAAAAGAATATAAAAGGACAGGTAACCCCAAGTGCTGTCGCTACACAGACAAAATGTTTAAGATACACATATATTTCATTTATTGTAAATATATTTCATACAAATACAACTTGAATGGATGTCATTTATGACCAGGTGTATTTCTGCTACATGACTTTACTCAAGACTGACTTTGCCAATTATAGGATAAAACTAGAATAGAAAATATAGGATAGGATCTAAACTTGAAATACTTTTGCGAACAGAACAATAGGCATACTTTATTATTCTATTTGAACTTCGTTAGCGTATACAGAGAGTACAACGTTTCATTATGCTACTAATTTCTATTTAAATCAATCTATTCTTTGCTGCAAAAAATACGTTCCATAATTCTTCCCCCATATTGCATGCCGTGGTAGCCTAGTGGTCATGGTCGTTAATTTGCGGACAGGTGTTGGAGGCCGGATGCCACTTGAGACCCGTCGTGTAGCGGGACTGATGCACATTAAATCTGGTCGAGGCTCCGAGTCCTCCTCTTGGCACGGTTTGAAAATTTGGAGGGGGAGGCTCAAAGTTAGGTGTCGTCCTCATCACTTGACCGAGGTTCAAAATTACGAGGTCTGTCTCCATACTCTTCTCAGTGCAATGTTAATAAACAATCTCTCTCAGTTTTATTTTTCAGCACACTCTTCATGTGAGGCTATGCGTCCACTTGTATCACGGTTAATCATATGCTTTCTACCTCCTTTAACTACTCCCCTCCTCTAGCTTTATACATCCCTCCTTCCTCCTACTACCACCCCTCCTTCAAAAATTTTCAGGGGGAGAGTGATCATAAATACGGGTAGGGACATCTTGTCTCGTTTGTTTTGCAGCTTATAAGCTTTGGTGGGAGTGAACCCCAGTTCTTTTAGCTCCTCGTTGGTATCTGTTGTTGAAGTACCTCTCAGACGGCCTCTAATAAATATTTTAACCGGCGCTCGGGTTTCAGTGTAATAACATAATATGATCTGTGGTATTATGTTAGTATTTTATTAGAGATTTCTATACTCTTAAGGAGTCTCTACGAATAATTTAATATACTCTTCTGAGAGGAAGTTTAGATCTCAATTTCTCGAAGATGAGTGTAAGCTCTTGTAGCTGCAATTTACAATAATATTTTTTGATTTTTAACATGTTAGGAGGAGGGAGATGTGTGGGGGAGGGCTTTAGGCGATGGGACTTTCTCCTTTAATCCCTTTATGTCTCTTGCATTTCTTGTTGGGACTTGGAAATCTCATTGTTGTGGATTTTTAAATTTAATGGAAGTCTCCACAATTTGAGGAAATTGTGTTTCAAAGAATTTTCTTTTTGCCTGCTTGCTCATTAAGGTGGTGGTATATCCACTATCATCAGCTCTTTTAATTTTACTGTTTTTATCTGGTGTGGTGAGTAGTTGGGTGTGGGTGGGGTAGCCTGGTATAAGACAGATAGGATAAGAAATATACTCATCTCCCACTTTTGTTGCTGCTTCCTTGACCGCCAGGTATTATAAGCTCCTTTATCGAAGTCGCTATCATGGTATTTATATCTTAATTATATGTGCAGAATCGGAATAAATATTCCAATTCGTGTGGAATAAATATTCCAATTCGAAAAATTAAGAAATAATCACCTTCTCATAATAGCACTGAAAAGTACTACTCGTGTTATTTAAAAACTGAAGAGGTAATAAACATAGGCGCACGAGAGTGCATGTAATCGAGTCCTGCACTGTTGTTCCTGCACTGAAAGAAAGTACAAAATTTTTACTACGTTTCAGAGCAGATCTGATAAAAAAAAAAAAAAAATCGAAAGGAAACTGTTCAAGTTGTCATGGCATTAGGAAATTTTATAACATGTAATTCATGGCTAGTGAAACACTATTTTAAAACGTTTTAATATATTTCACTTGGTGTGTGTGTCATCAAATTTTCGATCTTTAATTTAACCAACTTCCTATCAAGCTAGAGCTCTGAAACTTTGAGAATCAATCTTACTCGCCTAACAATCCAATATTTAGGTATTTGCGATAAGTTTTAACTAATATTTTCTTTAATAATGCAGTTTAGCCCAACCACTTGGCACAATTTCAAAAATTGGCACCAAACTTGGCGATTTTTATTGGCTGAACGTTGATTCCGTAAAACAGACCAAGGTAGCCACATTTGGCAAAATACTGCCAAATAATTCTTGTCACCAAGGGTGGTTGGTTTGAACTGCATTCCGAAAATTTAATTTACCGGATGAATTAATTAGTTTTAGTTAGTTTTAACGTTTTTATGTATTTCACTTGGTGTGTGTCTGTCTGTGTGCGTATCAATGTGTCATCAAATTTTCTATCATTAATTTAACCAACTTCCCATCAAGCTAGAGCTCTGAGATTTTGGGAACCGTTCTTACTTACCTAACAATGCAATATTTAGATATTTGCGACCAGTTTTAACTCATATTTCAATAATTTTCTTTAATAAACTTTGCCACCATATAAAAACGTTGGTTTTTTTTTATCTCGAATTATTACAATTTAAGACTT